ATATATATATATAGGGAAATGGTTCTCTGCTTTAAGGAAAAAACCAGCACAAATGGGACCAGAGACCACAGGGCCAGCCGACTCAGCTTGTTCCTGGACAAGGGAGCGGCTGTGACTCCTCTGCTGTTCAGGGTTGGCAGGCGGGACCACAGGCTCCCAGGGGCCCAAAGTCTCTCCGTTTTCAAGATGAGATGAGGGGGAAATTAAGCTTTTGTGTGGTTCCCCAATTGTTCAGTTTGTTCACAGGAAAATTCTATTAACCAAACACAACATGTTGGTGGATGAATCTAGTTTGTGAGCTACACCTTTACAGCTCTGCCTTAAGGAAACCGAGGGCACTGGTGTGGAGAAGAGGGACCCAGGGCCTTACGTGACCGGGGGAGCGGCGGGAGGTGGGGTGGGATTCCTTCTGTGCCGATGCACAGACGCATGTGCGACCCCGGGAGGTTCAGCTGTTCTGAAGGAAGGGTTGCTGCCTTAGTCTAGTGGGCTGGGCAGGTCATGAGCTCTGCGTCTCTGAGCCCCTCCCCACCCTTCACCGCCACATTCCAGCCGGCTTTGTCTGTCCGCACCTCTGAGCCCCAGCTGGTGTATCACTCGTTCGCCTGAGTCTGTTGCCTGTTGTCTATGTTCCGCACTAGAGGGTCCACTCCCTGAGGGCCTGAGGGTTTTGTCTGTTTTCTCCACTGCTGACTCCCTGGCCCAGAACAGTCCAGGCAGAAAGTAGGAAAGGCAGGTGGTTGTTAGCTGTATGCATGAAGAAAAGCTTGTAGGCCACCGTCGGAGGGTTTGGCCAGAAGCGTCCAAGGAGGACCCCCTGACCTGCTGTTCGCCTCCCCCAGAGCCGGCTACCTGACTCTGTACGGAGTCGAAGCTCTGCCACGCACACGTGAGAGCCGGGCCCAGGACCGCACCCACTCAGCTGATGTCTTCCACACCTTCCGCCAGCTCGACCTCCTGCTCCCCAAACTGGCACGTGGCTCCCTGTCAGTGGGTAAGCACCGTGGGGACCCTGGTGGGCGGTGGGGCAGACAGAGGGACCCAGAGGGGGAGCGCACAGTCAAGCTGAAGGCTCACAGGCAACATGGGCGGAAGGACATTCTCATGCCCTGGGCAGCAGTGAGATCCCTGTCCCCAGGCATATGCAAGAGTACAGTGGTAGGAGGCAGGGCTTGGGCCGGAGCTGGGGTTCCTGGTGGATGCGTTACATCTAGAGTGGGGCCTGGGGACCTCGTTGTGCGTTATTTTTATTATTTCCTATTTTTAAAGGTTTCTATTACTTTTTTCTGCTGAGGTGTGATTTTCATACAGGAAAGCACCCAGGTCCTAAATGCACGGCTGAGAGGTAAATCTAAATACTTCGTGTCCTTCCCAGTCAATACCCACCACGCAGAGGGAGCCGCCATATTGGTTCCTGTCGCCTTGGATTAGTTTTACCTGTTTGCGAATTTCCCATAAATAGAATCACGCAGCATGTGTACTTTTGTGCCCGGCTTCTTTCACTCAGCCTCTCGTCTGTCAGCTTCGGCCAGGTGGCCGTATGTATCGGTCGTCTGTTTTCCCCGTGGCATAGCATTTCAGTAGAGTAGTCTGTCTGTCCGTCCCTGGTGGAGGGATGTGTGGGTCGTTCCCAGTTTGGGGCTGTTGTGAATCGGGCTTCTGCGAACCTTCTTTGTACCTGCCTGCCATGGCACACCTGCCTTCACCTCTCTGTTATCAGCCCTCCGCTCTTCTGACCTTGATCTTGCACACTGAAGGAGCCGTCCGGCCACGTAGCATTCTCCCTGAACTCCACATCTGGAGTATTTCAGCTTGGGTCTGTGAAAATCCACCCCACTTACTGTTGTGGCTACAGAGGGAGCTCGGTGTTGGTAAAGAGGTTCCGGCAGGATTCAGTGCCCAGGGGCCATGCGAACCACTGGGCTGCACTCTCTTCTGGCCACTGTGTCTCAAACTTCTCTCGTGAGAAGAATCCTCTCAGCCCTTGTTAATAATACAAGCCCCCAGATCCCTTCCGGTCCACTTGAATCCAAGTCTCCAGGGAGGTCGGGAAACTGCATGTATTCTAAGTGGCACAGGAAGGTTGAGAAGTCGTGTGTATCCTGGACGCAGACATTGGCAGCAAAATCTGGATTCAGATGCCTACTGTGGGGCTTCTGAGCTGATGATTTGGGGCAAGTTACTGGTCTTTTTTTTTTTTACCCCAGGTCCTATCTCCAGACGGGCAGTTGAGGGGAGTGATTGATACATGCTCCGCTCACATGGCTTGAGGTAGTTTACTGGCTCCTATATAGTGTCCCTGTGCCTCAGCGATCTCATCTGTAAGGTGGGGAGAACAATAGGATCTTCCTGCAGGGTGACTGTTGGGAATGGCTGAGGTAATAAGAAAAAACACTTCTCTGTTGAACACTTTCTAGGTGCCAGATACCAGGTTAACTGTGGTCTCATTCAGTGCTCACAACAGCTTATCACCCCATTTCCTTTATTTATGTAGTTTTTAAAAACCACACTTTAGCCCATTAGATTGTTTGAGAAGGAAACCTTCTCGTGATTAACAATGCAAAGATGCTGGCATATATCCCTTCACACTGTTTTGTAGGAATACTCGATTTTACAGAGACAAAGACACATATCTAGAGTGTCACTGGGTGTATTTTAAGAAGGAATTATATCTATTATCTGCAGCTTGGGTTTTTGTTTAACCTAACAACATAGCTGTGTATTCTTCCCTGTCAATACAAGTATCTTCTAGTGATATTAGCCAATGCAATTAGATAAGAGAAATCAATTACTGGTATAAGAATGAGTAAAGAAGGGATGCCTGGGTGGCTCAGTCGGTTAAGCGTCTGACTTTAGCTCAGGTCCTGACCTCACGGTTCTTGAGTTCAAGCCCCGCGTCGGGCTCTGTGCTGACAGCTCAGAGCCTGGAGAGCCTGCTTCGGATTCTGTGTCTCCCTCTCTCTCTGCCCCTCCCCCACTCGTGCTCTGTCTCTCTTTCTCTCTCAAAAATAAATAAATGTTAAAAAAAATTTTTTTTAATGGGTAAAGAAGATGTAAGACTATCCCTGTTTGCAGAAGACCTGGTTCTGTGCTGGGAAAACCCCAGGAAATCCATGACAGAACTAACTCAAGTGAAAAAGACTGGCAGAGTAGAAGGATATACAATCAGCACGCAGAGAATTGAGTCATCTTTGCAGCTCTTGCTTGTCAGGATTTAGGCAGCCATCCCCCTCCAATGGATACTTATAATTGTTTCCTTTTGTGTGTGTGTGTGGCTACTTTAGTATTCCATTGTACTTGTATCTTTGCTACCATCTGGTGATTTTATTCCTCTCGACAGTTTCCTGGAAGTGGGTTTGCCATGTCAGAAGGCATACACATTAAAATTCTTGTTAGCTGCGGCCACATCATTTCCAAAACCATGGAGCAACTCATACGCCTGCCCAAAGGGAAGGAGTCTGCTCATTCCCCCACCAGATGTTATCAGTCTTTGCATTTGTTTGCCAATCTGATGGGCAGAGGCAGGTAACTTGTTGTTTTAATTTGCATTTCCCCACAGCCTTGTCAACAAACAGTTATCAGATTTTAAGACCTTGCCAACCTGATGGACAAAAAAGGGCATCTGGCTTTATGGGCATTTCCCTGATCACTGTGATGGAACAGCTTTTCGTGTTTCCCCAGCCATTTGCTTTTCCTCTCCGCGGGTTACCTCTTATCATCCTTTTAGAGACAATTCATGATCTTATTGAACCATCAGTGCTAGAAGGTTGATATTATTATACCCATTTTGCAAGTAAGGAAACAGGCCCAGACAGATGAAGTCATTTGTCAGGGACACACAACTGTTAGGAGGCAGAGCCGGCAAAAGGAAAAACTTGGTCTGATTGCAAAATCCTGTGTGTAAAGCACCTGGCACCTCCCAGCATCGGTTGCTTCTCCAGGAAAGAGTGGTTTCTCCATCGCGCATTCATCCATCCATACCCACGCTACTATAGGGGACCCTGGGTCATTCGGGGAGCCGCCCTGGGCTGGGTATAGGAAAGCTGCATTTCCCAGTGTGGGCAGCAGGTGGCAGTGTTGGGGAAGGTTTCTCATCTTGGGGCTGGACAGATGGACAGCTGCCCTCAGACTTTGTTGGGCTTGTGAAGAGGGCAGCCTCTTTGGAAGAGTGATGTGGCAGAACCTGTCAAAACAGAAATGCTCATTCCCTCGAACCTGAACTTCTACTACTAGGAATTATCCTACAGCAGTGCTTGCACGCATCTAGAGATGCACAAAGATCCTCATTGCCCCGTTGCTTATAATAATAGCAAATGCTGCAGACAGCCTGTATGTCCACCCGTGGGGACTGATGAAATAAGTTATACATTCACATAAAGGAAAACAGCAACCGTCAAGTAGAACGGGATATACCAAAACCATGCAGGAGAGTGGGTATATTGTGGGATTTTTTAGTTTATTTTTTTTCCAGTTTCATTGAGAAATGATTGACACACGACACCACGTAAGTTTAAAGTATACAGCATGATGACTTGACTTACATATATTGTGAAATTAGCACCACGGTAAGTGTGGTTAACATCTTTGTTTTCTAAGCCTGTGGGAACATTTTGCTTCTGAGAAGGCTGAGATGGGATGGAAATGCCCGCTTGAACTCTTAGAGATGCTTTCTTTCTTTTTCTTACTTTTTTTTTTTTTTTGCCACGTGGATGCATTATTTCTCCTCCACTATTAAAATTATAAACATTTTGGGGCACCAGGGTGGCTCAATTGGTTAAGTGTCTGACTGTTGTTGATCTTGGCTCAGGTCATGAGCTCATGGTTCATGAGATCGAGCCCCACATTGGGCTCTATGCTGACAGTGCAGAGCCTGCTTGGGATTCTCTCTCCCTCCCTCTCTCTCTGCCCCTCCCCTGCTCTCACTCTCTGTCTCTCCAACTAAATAAATAAACATCTAAAAGCACCATTTAAAACAAATGTATAAACATATTTTAAAAGAAAATTGACCCTTTGGGGGATGCTTAGATCACAGAGTCTGGTGCTTCTCATATAGGAGGGAATTGGGGGCAGATAGAGCCCCAAGCTAAATATACTGCTTTCTGGAACATTTGTTTTACTAAATTATTTGGGAGGGGCATGTTTTCTTTGAATATTGTTTTGGAAAGAGAAGCATCCTTATAATAAAGAATGACAGAGTCTAGGGGTGCCTGGGCGGCCCGGTTGGTTGGGTGTCTGATTGTTGATTTCAGCCCAGGTCATGATCTCGCAGTTCGTGGGATCGAGCCCCGCATCTGACTCTGTGATTGGGCTCTCTGCTGTTGGTACAGAACCCACTTCAGATCCTTTGTCCTCCTCTCCCTCTGCTCCTCCTTTGCTCATGTTCTCTCCCTCTCTCTCAAAAATAAACATGAAAGAGAAAGAGAAAGAAAGAAAGAAAGAAAGAAAGAAAGAAAGAAAGAAAGAAAGGAAAAAGAAGGAATCACAGAGTCTAATGCAAAAATCTAATGCATTTTATAGGGAAAAGACAGGACTTTAATTTTTTTTTTAATGTTTATTTATTTTTGAGACAGAGCGAGACACAGCATGAACGGGGGAGGGTCAGAGAGAGAGGGAGACACAGAATCCGAAGCAGGCTCCAAGTTCAGAGCTGTCAGCACAAGAGCCCGAGGTGGGGCTCAAACCCGAAAACACAGGACTTTAAAGATATGTCCCTCTCTGGACTATGCCCAGGTTTCTAGGGCACAGAGGGGCTTCTGAGGAAAAACTTGAGAGGTACTCAACTCTGGGCCCCTCGTTTTACAGATGGGAAGACTGAGACCCAGTGGTGGACAGGGCCTTGGCCAAGGCCACACAGCATGGGAGGTCTGGAATTTGAACCTGCAATGCAATGACTAGTTACACAGGCCTGGGAGTTCTGATTCACAGCACTGAGTCATTACACTGGGGCTGATAAATAATACTTAAGAATAATGGCAAGAATGTAGCAAGCATGACATGCTAGGCCCCTACCAGTACCAAGTGT